TCATCGACTGGCACAGCTATGGACAGTACATTCTGCTTCCTTACGGCTACGACTGCTCTGCTCGTGCCAGCAACCACGCGCGCCAGATGACTCTCGCCGGCAACACCGCTACGACTATCGCTCAGTCTTACGGCACCCGCTTCACCTACGGACCCAGCTGCTCCACTCTCTATGCAACTACTGGCAGTGCTCCTGACTACCTCACGGGTGCTGCTGGCGCGGAGGTGGCCTGGACCATCGAGCTCAGGCCGTCTGGCTCAGCTGGTGGTGGTTTCGTTCTGCCCGCCACGCAGATTCTGCCCAGCGCTATTGAGCAGTGGAATGGCATGAAATACCTGCTTGCGAACGTCTAGAATAAAGATAGGCTCTTCAATTATGCACCTGGTGCTTACTTATTATCTCTCATGCTTCATGAATTATGGCATGAGTCCAGTGTCTGCCGTCGGCCAGTCTGGGGAGTTCTAGGCCACGCCTGGTAAATTTCACGAATTGTTTGCGTGATCTCCACGGTATCTACGCTTTGCCGATCAAATGCCTGATTGCGGTTTTGAAACTCAACTTCCACTATTGTTCCAGTGTCAGTGTGATGTAAGGTAAGGTATGCTGATGGCGTTGATGTGGCTTAGCTGAAGACCTGCAATCATCATTCGAGGATGATCCGGTCCGGTCGAAGACAACGCCTTGTCTTGAATGTCAAGCCGCACGCAAGAAGTGGGATGATTCAGATCTGTTTCACTCCCAACAGCCACAGCCCGGTGCGAACCGTACCGCAATTGCCGATAACGGCTTCGGCACTTGAACGCAATTCCACGTGCTGGTAGCCGACCAGCGGCCTAGAAAGTGGAAATCGCAGCTGAAGTATTTGCCACATTCTAAGACGAAGTAGTCTTAGGACCACGAAGAATCATGGTGTGTTCACTTACTCTGCGATCTTCGCATAGCCTGCTTTCTTGTTCAAGGACCAGTTACTTCGAAGACGACGGCGGAGTCGGGATAACGGGGACTTAACATACAGTTCATTGGTATGTAGTTTTTCCTCCGACTGCTTGTATTTCACCAGCGCTTTGCATATTGATTCCGTTCGTGAAAAATGATTTAGAGTTTAGAAACCTCTTGCTAGTCTCTTTTATGAGCTGTGAAACATTCTCAATCTACATGCCAAGAACGGCACTAAAAATCTTCAAAACATTCCGAAAACATTCCTAGTCATCAGGTCATCTCACGAAAAGCCACTCAAATGCACAGGCCTCCGGAAAGCTAACCTTTGTGTGGTTCCGTGGCGAGTTATCGAAGCTGAACTAAGTAGCACATTCAGCCGCCAAGTGATATTGAAGCTCAAAAGCCTCCCGTTCAAGGGGGCTTATCTAGGATTTGCATAAATTCGCGTGACACACCGGATCAGAGTCATTTCTTCACCCTTCTGCGAAAGTTGCATGCGAGAACCCTTGTCGTCCTTCAGTTGACTCTTTGGACAAAACGGCCTTACCTGAAAGTTAACAGTTGTTAATTTACTTCAAGGAAAGTTCCGACATAAGCTTCTAACGACATGACAGCGGCCAGCATGAGTGTTGGGAGCCACGAAAAGCTTCTAGCCCCGTCAGGTACCTGTGCCGAACAAGATTCCAACGCCGATGCATCAGTCACGCCCATCATCACTCCGCAGGTCCAGTCACTAGCATACCGTAAACCCAAACGGTCATCGACGGTTGTACTGCTTTTGAGCGACTGGTGGTACATGGAGTTGCTGTGTATGGTTCTATCTTTCGCAACATTCGGCTTCTACTGCTGGTTTCTACACCATAGAGACGGCAAGGAAGACGATGCCGCCTATTTTTTCAGAATCAAGGTATACAGCAATGTGGGAGCCGCCATTGCGCAGATAGCCGTGGTTCTCAAACTACTCATGTTCGTACCAGTTTCATCGGCACTGGGTCAGCTCAGCTGGTACCGCTTTTTGAATGCAACTTCGAAACCCGTGGCAGATTTGCAAGCCTACGATGCGGCGTCTCGGGGGCTTTCAGGATCAGTTCGGTTCCTCCTATCCAAAAACCTGTTGTGAGTTTTTAAAGACCCCGCCGTCAAAAGACACATTCGAAGGCTATATCACTAACGGTACGCTCTAAAGTAAATCTCCTCACGCCACGTTAGGCGCTCTTTTGACTATCACGTCAATTTACCTGGCATCCGCGATGCAGAACGCGGTTCATCCTTTTTCAAATTTGTCTCGAGATCCTCAAGATGGACAAAACGCTTCCATGCCTTTTGTTGATCTCCTCGATCACCACCCGCGAACCAGTACCTCAATTGTGGACGAAAACAACGTCGAAGTCGAAGCCGGAATGGGCGCAGCCCTCTATTCAGCTTGGCTATACAACACGAATCTCCAGAAATCCAATGTGCCGGTTTCCTTCTTACCCGTAAACTGTTCGGGCGACCAGGTGGACTTTTGCCAGTGGGAAGGGTATGCTACAATCGCTGCGAACAGCGTGTGCAGCATTGCTCCAGCGACCAAGGAACCCCACGGATTTGGTCATTCGTACCAAGCAAACATCAACAGCTCCGTTCGCGCTCTTGGCAACCAAAACACTTCTTCTTTTACTCCAGCCCGACTCAAATTTGAAGCAAGCTTAGAAATCCCGGAAACTAGCAGCTTCAAAGCCGCTTTCCCAGACCAGTCGGCAGTAATCATCTACCTCGCAGCGATTGCTGACGACGGAGCCCCTGAAGTTGCAGCAACAGAGTGTGTCTTGAATTGGCAGGTGCAACACTTTCCAGGCCTCATGTTACCCTCGTACACGGCATCAACATACAATCCATTGGAGATAATTGAACCAACATGGTACAACAAAACAAGTCGCCCAGGAATCGACAATGACACCATTTTTAAGGCACCTTGTAACCCAAAGTCTGGGGATCCAAATTGTGAATACAAGATCAAACGCGCCGGTACACTGCAGCTTCAAAATTATCTCAAGCAATTCTTACCAGGCTACTTTTTGCCAGACTCGCATAACAACACGCGCTTCAAAGCCACCGGTAAAGCCATAGATGTTTTCGCCCGGTCGTGGATTGACAGCAAGGGTTTGGATACACAGACGTCTCTGAACGAGACTTTGAACGAGTATATGTCCAACTTGGCGAAAGGCATCACCGGCTACTTGCTCTCCACGGCCACCAAAACCTCACCCGGGCAAATCAGATCACTCCAATTGTGCGAGATAGCATGGTACCATATTGCCTACCCACTTACTATGGTGGTCCTATCTGCGTATCTCCTACTCTTCACGATGTGGTGGACGCGAAGCATGCCAGTCTGGAAGACTTCACTTCTCCCCTTTCTGTACCATGGGCTTCAACATCCTCCTTACAAGCAAGGACACGACCTCTCTAGTCTAGGAACGATGAGAGAGGTGAGTAATTACCAGACGGTTGCGTTGCGCGACGAGAACGACGGCCTTGGCTTAAGGCTGAGGAATCCCCAAGTGAGCATCGCCACCTAAGTTAATGTATGCTATATCTGCTAAGCAACCCTCTAAAGAGTTGATGGCATGTTCAAGTATACGGTCAGTTATCTTGGTTCATGTAGAAATTGGAAGCCTAGGTAGTGATACTACTTTCTTTTCCCAGTTTGCCGCCTGTGGGCGCATCTTTTTGATTGGCGTATGGCTCTGACCGGGGAATATATGAGGGCCAGAATGGCCTGGGCTAGAGAAATCTCTATGACCACCTATGGGGTATATGAAGAGGAAGCGAGTCGCCATGCTTACAGTCAAGACTTTGCTAGGACACAGTGGTGATTTTCATTGACGACCTTTTCGACTCCTGGAATCAAGTTCTAAATGGCAAGGAACTTCGACTCAGTCTCGCTAGCATCTGCTTTTCTCCTAGATATCCCGCAGGCCTATGCTGAAATCGTGGTGTCACTCGTTAATTAAGATCCCGCCTGTTGCGGGCATTCATAGACTCATGGCGTCAACGTGGCTTAGCTGAAACCCTTCGATCGGCCGCCTAGTGACGGTCCGGTGTAGTCTAGAAAATCCCATGTCTTACCCTTCGGCTACATGTCTGGGTACGCGAGCATCGAGACACGAAGTTGCTGAGCCGCGCTAGGTAGACACCGGCCTACACCGCAATCACCGATAACGGCTTCGTGGCTCATTGACTACGTGCTCTGGGGGCGACGGGGCGCCAGGAATGCTGAAGCCTAACCTCAGGTCAAGGCCAAGCTTTCAGACACCGGTTTGAGGACCCCGAGCTTCATCAATTTACGTTGGAAACCTAATATGGAATGTCTTCCGCTTCAAGACTGAATGTTTGGGTGTGTCAAAGACGAATGCAACACTCGATCCCTCCGCGCCATTTCTAGGCATAGATTCTCTAGGGAGCAGCCCCGACGCTTTGCAGTGAAAAATCACCTGTTGATTTGTTTCGCAAGGCTGTCCAAAGACATACGCAATATCGCCGGCGGAATGGAATTTTTGGGCCTTTGGTTTGGTCAATACCTGTCTCGGGGTCCGCCTGCTGCGACGAGAGACGTATACGTGTTTCAAAACATCTTTCCTACGTGTATCCGAATATATCCTTTGCAATATTGGGTCACAGCTTCAGTACGGACAAGCCCTTTTACTCAAGCAGGCGGTCTTGACCACTTCAAAGTTCAAAAGGCGATCACGGCGACTTCTTTTTGTCACATTTCAGACCCAGCCGGAAAGTCCACCAAGTCTTCATTCCCATTCGCACCTCTGGACGACCGCCGCTCATATTAATCTCAACAATTCACATGCGGCAATATGTCGTCAGAAAAACATAGAGACTCTATTATTTCTACTATAATCTCCAAGGACTTCGAGACTGGCCCTCGCGGCGGCTCACAGTCAGCGGGGCTACAATCTCCTTCTCTACCAGAGACCAGCACTGCCACCTGTCATGCTATCGAGCCCCCTTCGACGGTATCTAAATTACTTACTGGATAGTGGTATATGGAAATAGCCTGCATGATCATGTCTTTCGCAGTATTCGGGCTATACTGCTGGTTCCTCAATAGTTGGGACGGATATCGGGTGTGCTACTGGAACGAGAGAGTGCCGCATGTTTTCTCCAGCTTTTACGTCAATAATCTTGGGTCTGCGGCATCTTCTATCATTACAGTTTTGAAAATTCTTTCATTCATCCCAATCACCGCCGCAATGGGCCAACTTAAGTGGCACTACTTTCTACGCCGGTATTCGCGACCAGTAGCCGAGTTGGAAACATTTGACGCAGCATCCCGTGGCGTATCTGGGTCAATAAAGCTTCTCGTATCTGGCAGAAGATTGTAAGGGAACTATTATTCTCCAAACATTGTGCTCTCGCTAATGTTGCAAAAGCCACTCCATCCATATAACGTTGGGTTGCTTGCTCACTCTAGACACTCTATATCTCGGATCCTCGACTCAAAATACCATCACGTCTCCCTCTAGGGTATATTGGCCACTGAAACACAGAATCAACGAAACAACGGTAGCGTTACTACCAGTAACTGAGATGTTCAATGTCACAGCCCGACGTGATATTATTGGTGTCGACACTCAGAACTACAGCGAGGATCCGGGAATGCAGGCAGCTCTATTCACTGCTTGGTCATTCTACGAAAATCCACTGTTCGCGAACCAAGAAATCGATCAGGTTTCAGCCAACTGCTCGTCTACCTATTGCCGATGGCATAATACAACTACGCTCAGCATGGCTGTGAAATGCTGTAGCGCCGCAACGACCTTCGGCAGAGATGGACATGGATACTCGAAAGAGGCAGACATAGCTTCAAGCATCGACGTCATTACCAACGGATTATCTACTCGTCGACAAGCCATAATTAACCTCAGGGCAAGCCCTAAAATACCGGAAAACAGCGGCTTCAACAGGACCGACAGACAAAGGGCCGTGATAATTCATCTCGCGGCAATCGCTGAACATGATGAGCAGAGTTTTGATGCAGCGGAGTGTCTCATTTTCTGGACAGCCGCGCACGTATCCGAGACCGTCTATCACAATAACTCAGGCTCGACACTGACGCAGACTGTTGCATCCATCCAAAGCATTCCCGAGAACCGGACCTCTACAGAAGATGAAAGCATCGTGTTTAAGGCTCCCTGTAGTGGCAAAAGAAACACCGAAACATGTAGTTTCAAGATCACCAACGATGCAAATCTGACCGTTAGAAAGCTTCTGACGGACTTCATGACCGGGTATGTGTACCGAGATCCGAATCAGAACGGTACACTCTTTATACCCAGCAGCACAGTCATGGACTTGTTTGCCTGGTCATGGAGAACCACTCTTGTGAAAGTCTCGATGTTTCCAAACCCCTTGACCACAACCTTGGAGGTTTATATGTTGAATACGATCTATAGTCTCTCCGGATACATCCGCACCAAGCAAGCGACGCAGCTGGAAGGACAGAATGGGTCATTTGAGCCAATATTTCACATTGAGTGGAAGTACACCATTTATCCAGGGGCTATGTTGATACTGACACTCTATCTATTTGCCTTCACAGTATGGGCTACCCGCAGCATGCCGGTATGGAAGTCATCCCTTCTTCTATACTTGTTTCACGGTTTTGATCGCCTAGTTTTGGACTCGAGATATGATCTTTCAAGCTTGCCGTGGATGGAGGAATTTAGCAAAGAGAAAAAAGTAGTCTTGCGGGACGCTGACGATGGTCTTGGCCTTAAGCTAAGAGATATGGATAGAGGTACTTCTGATGAAGGTTTCTAGCACCTGTGTTGAGAGATGTAGTGATTGTATAATAGAAGGCTTTTGCGATATAGGATTGTGATATCTGGTATGGTGTTGGGTTTGTGTGTATTTGTCTCCCGTGGCCTACCTATATTGGCATGGAGGCTGCTCAAGACACGGAACATTTCCATGGCAGATATGGAAGGCGAATTACCCAGGAATCGAAGGGACGCGCGAAGGTTTGACAAGGACCTGTACAGATTTTACACATGATTAGAATCATGAGTCAATTGTAAGTCTCCAGTACACAGCTCACTCTTTCCCAAGCAGATACATTAAGCTTACATGACGGGATCGCGGTCTAGCTTTAGAATAGTCTTACATAGTCCATTGTTAGTCTTTCACACCCCCACATGAGCAGACTTAGAGGCTCATATGGAAACAAACAAAGATTTCAGGCTTGTGAGCTCACGTTATTTCGAAGGAATTAGCATAAATTGACGTTTCCCATAAAGGACACCTTATAATCACATTCATTCGGTCTCTTTACTCTCGTCTCTACTCATCCAGTCATCGCAAATATTCTGATACATGTAGTTACATCTAGGCTTTATTGTTATGAAAGAAGAAGGAGGTTTGTGGCTGGAATGCATCAGATTATGGATTTGGGCTCCTAAGGTGGCACGACGATGGCGCATGCAAAGAGAAGTCCAGAGACTTGAAGTGTGATTAAATGATGCTTGTCTAAGAGTTTCTCAGCTTAAGACCTAACCCGTCGCCATCGTCCCGCAGGACTACTTGCTTATGCTTGCTTGCTTCCTCCATCCATGCCAGGTTCCGGCAATGATAGCCTGGCTCGGTGGCCGGAAGTTCGAAGCCATGATACAAGAAGGGAAGCAAGGAAGTCTTCCAAGTGGGTCCACCCTTCGTCCGCCACATGGAATAGAAGAGGAGGTAAATAGTCAGGCCTAGCAAACACCCTGGATAAGCTACATAGCCTTTGTTGATCTTGAAAATTTGGTCCTCCTGCTCGACTTGCCCAGACACTGTGTCATTGGATAAGGCTCTTACAGCAGCACCAATTCCGAAGGCAATCTGGCGAGCATAGATACCCATTGTCGTATTTAAGGCGGTCTGCGCACCTGGGTCTTTGAAGCTTAGTTGCCATGATGACCGAAAGATATTGAAGATTGTGTTGTCTGACCGAAATATGGTGTGAGTCTTTGAATTTTCTCGGTACGTGAACCCTCGGAGGGCATTTGCTAGGAAATTTCGCAGTCCCTCGTGTGCATGGTTCGTGACAGTATACGAGCATTTCATACCGCCTGGGTCTTCCTCGCTAGTAATGTTGTGTCCGGTGTTGCAAGGAGCATGAATGATTATATCCTTGTCCCGATTCGTAGCTGGATTAGGCGTTACGTTGTGATAGTCTGTGTTGCTACCCTGGTCAAACGACAGGCTGGTCACGTTATAGGTGTTGAAACCCCATGTAGCCACCACCCAGCTGAATACACATTCGGCCGCCTCAAACTCACCATCGCCACGCTCAGCAATGGCAGCTAAGTGGAGGATGAGTCCAGGGCTGTTTGAGTATGTAGATGTGAAAACACTGCTGTTGGGGATGGTCAAACTCGGTTTCAGACGGATTTGAGCATGCGCAAAAGCTCCGTTGAAACTTGGTACTGAGACGCGATTGGTGATATTGGCCTGACTGGAAAACGCGAAACCTTCGGCGTTGATAACAGCTGACGCATTGGCACACTGGTAATCGACAGCGATCGTAGTAACATCTTTCCATTGGCATCTCTTCGTTGAGCAATCAGCCGGTATAGTGGTGACTTGATGGTCTATGGCCTTTGGCTTCAAGATGCGTGACCAAGCAGAAAGGAGGGCCGCACGAGTGCGTGGGTCTGCGTCTGAGGCTTGCTGATTCGTTCCGTTTATGCCGTTCCGATCTATGTCGTGCGTCTCTGAGATGTTGTATAGTTTGCAGAATGGAATTCTTGCGTTCAAAACACCGGGCATTTCCTTTTCCCAGTAAGTTCCGGCGTGTTGAGTGATAGCGCTCTGCCCCAAAGTCTGTAACCCCTGAGTTCCGAGGATCAGAACACAGCCAAGGGAAATGTGTATAGAGTGGCTGATGTGGCGTCAGTAATAACATTGCGATGTTGAACTGTGCACCTTGAAAATACAATAATAAGAACAACGTACAAGATATTTTTAGAGAAGAGTAGTCTGGCAGACCCAAAAGTGCCTCGAGATGCTGCGTCAAAAGCCTGCAGATCTGCAACTGGTCTGGGCCACGGTCGTCCGAAGTGATGCCATTTCAACTGGCCCATCGATGCTGCAATGGGATAGCTCAGAAAGACCCTGAATGCAGTCATAACTATTGCAGCAGCGGCTGGAAGGTTCTTGAGTGGGGATAGCCGAGCCTGTGGGCCTTTCCACTTGCTCACAGGCTTGTCGTCATAATGTTCGAGAAGCCACCAGTATGTTGCAAAGAAGCCAACACAGATGGCGGTGGATGCCAGCTCCAGACTCCACCACGCACTGACAAGCTTGTACCCTGTGGAGGGCTGCCTGGTGGTATGGTGATATTCCTCAGTCGGAAATTGAGGATGAACGTGTATCACGCCGGCCTTCTTATCGCTTCCGTATGCAGACTCTTGCAGGACAGTTGATGCCGCAGAGCCGCGGTGCTCATGTGAGGTCGCGTGCATAGTGCTGTGTGACATATTGCTCGCTAATGGAATGAATTGAAGATGGAGGCCAGCTCTCGTAAATCGCTGTTGTCAATGCAAGACTTGTCAACTACCAGAGTCTTGGATGTGTTTGCCAAGGAATTTATAAGACGCAACTCGTTTTGCGGGCCTGCCAACGTTCTCGACGACATCCGGATTGATCGATTCCATCTTTAGATTTAGAGAGTGTCACTTTGGAGTGGAACTGCACACGGCTCAAACGCTTGACTATTCCAAGCATGGCTTTTGATATCATCTGGCGACATTTTCGAAGGCGGGTTTTGTGGCTTGTCGAATAAGGCCAGGCCCAGCTTGCCTGACATGCATTTTCAGTGGTGAAGTTGTGGGACTGTAGTGCTCGCGTCATGGATATTCCGACTACTCTAAGTCCATGCCTGAAGAAATCTCAGAGGGCAATGCGTTTTCAGCAGCATCCGTCTCAGCCTCCATTCCGACGCGAAACAAGGTGAAATCTAGAATCTTCGCCACTCGCGACCCGTGGGAGAAGCTCAAGCTGGGATGGACTTGAATCTTGCTGTATCCTGCACATCGCCAGTCTAATCCATCCGTAGAAAGCATCTAGACAGGCCTGTTAGTCGCCGTGGTGGTCGGCACATATTCTCTCGGTGCGGCCCGAATGTGATTGAGGCTTGAGACTCAGCTCTGTATTTCAAAGCTCGCGTGCCTCCACACGGAATTGAAGTCCTAATTGGGTATGACGTCTGTGTTTTAAGTTGAGACATCGGCCGAGGGATGATCAGAGGGTTGTGGTAGCGTCTAGTCTGGAATGTCAACTGAAAATCGATTTGATCCGCTTTCCCTCTTGTGCGTCTTGCATTAGTTTGGTCCCAGTAACGTGGGCTTGAAAAGAGACACAGATAACCTTCCCAAGTGGTAAGATCCTTACCCAAGGCGGACATTCAAACGGTTCAGCTGTTCCAAAGGCGGAATAAATTCCAAATGAAACGAACGCAAATGCCGACATGGACTAGTCATACAGAGGTCGGAACGAGTGGACCGGTGGAAATGAGACATTCCATCATCGCACTCACTTTTCCTTCTTGGTTATCTCCGTTATCATTACCGGAGTTGTTAATCCGCCATTGGTTCATGCTATACGGAACAAGATGGGATGGGATGGGATGCGGCATGTAGCTCGACGCGGACGCCCTTTGCCCTATGCAGGGACGTGCCGGCGATTAAACAATACCACCACCACCATATCTTCTTTGTTTTCAATGCTGCTACACGCCATGTTTTGTGTAATGGAGAGAAACAAGCAGGTCCCTCTCGAAGACGAACGAAACATATGGTATTTGAACCTCTCCAAGAGTGACGATGGATTAACTCATTGGAGCCATGTCACATTTATTTGGCAGTCATGTGTCATAACTCACGAATTCAGCCTGTGAGGCTTACCTTAACCCATGGTGACTCAGTGGGCACTCGGAAAATTCTCGGTCGTAGGTCACGTTGGTGATCAATCTAGCTGCCCGGGTTGACCAACTGATTCAAAACCGCTCGGTTCGCTTGCCGTATATCCTATTGCCGTCCGTCTCTTCGGGATGATATGCAGGCTTTGGGTGTCAGGAGACTAGCCAACCACCCAAAATCAGAGCGGGGTTTTACAATGCCGCCTTGGCAAGCGGTGATATATGCATGATACCGTGTTGAGATCCTCCGAACCCCCAGGAAGGCCCAAAGATGGCGCGATGAGGTGCATGCGGGGTTCCGGGGAAGACCAGGGTTAGCAGAGTCTAGACACTTCACCCCACCCGAGGCCTTGGCTTGGGTTTATCCGTTCCTCAAAAGGTCTTTTTGTTGGTGCAAAATCCGTGGATACCGTCTCGGCGGTGGTTGGAGGTTTTTGCAGGCATCGTTATAAAGACTGCGGGGTGAGCCATCACAGACATGACTGTTTACGCGTTGACAGAGCTAGACAGCCCGAGGTACCCATGGAGAAACATACTTCGGCTACAGAGCATCACATAGAGGCAACTACCTCTGCGGTGGAAGCTGAGAAGGGCGATCTCAACAACCGCCATGTGAAGCAAGTGAATGTGCAGTCGGTTGCGCTCGCTGATGCCATCGCCAAAGATAAGCCCGACTACAAGTCGGCAACGCAGATGGCTTTGTACGCCATGATGGCACTTTGCGTTCTGAGTAAGTCGCAGAAATTGTTCGGCGGATCTATCCGGTCTCTGAGCTAACGGGACAACTTCAGATGGCGTCATGAATGGCTACGATGGCTCAGTCATGAGCGCTATCAATGCGATGGACCCCTTCCAAGACCGCTTCAAGATTGGCTTGACTGGCGAGCTTAACGGTGCAGTATTTTCCATCTACACCGTTGGAAACATTGTGGGCAGTCTCGCGTGCGGCTACATCATGGACCGATGGGGCCGTCGAGCCTGCATGTTCTCTGGGGCCACGTCAATCATCCTCGGTTCCGTCCTTCAGGCGAGCAGTTATCAGCTTCCCCAGTTTTTCGTCGGCCGCTTCATTGTTGGTATTGGAACTCCGATGTGCGCAACTTCTGCGCCCGTCTTCCTCGTTGAGATTGCCTACCCAACTTGGCGCGGTCTCGCTGGTGGCTTGTACAACGTTCTTGGCTGGTATATCGGCGCGAATAGTAAGTACCTTGCGAATCTAGATCGTACGTCCCAATTTCGGGGAACATTTTCTGACATCTTGGACGTAGTTGCTGCATGGACATGCTACGGCACAAACTTCATCCCCAACGATTGGTCGTGGCGCATTCCATACATCGTACAGCTTACTCCAGCCACTATTGTTGTGTCCCTTGCCTGGTTCCTCCCCGAGAGTCCTCGATGGCTCTGGTCTCAAGGAAAGACTGAAAGAGCAAAGTCAATCTTGACCAAATATCACGGCAACAAGAACCCAAACTCGGCTCTCGTCAAGCTCGAAATCGACGAGATTCAAGAGTCTCTCGAGCGTGAACAGGAGATGAACAATCATAATTGGAACTACAAGATTCTCGTCAACAATCGTCCAAATCGATACCGCATGTGGCTTGTGATGCTTGTTGCGGTCTTTGCCCAATTCATCGGCGGGGCCGTCATCTCGTAAGTAGAGACTTCAGTATTTCCATGGGGAACGCACTAGCTAAACCGACTCTACCAGGTACTACCTTCCCGCCATGGTAAGAGGCATCGGTATTACAGACTCTCGCCGCCAACTGCTTCTCAACGGACTCAACACAGTCACTTCTTTCGTGGGTGGTCTCTGTGGATCCTTCTTTGTTGACAAAGTTGGTCGTCGTCCCCTCTTCTTATGGGGCACGTTTCTTACCGGCTTGGTCTACATCCCTATCAATGTGCTCGCGGCCAGGGCCGAGAACAGCGAAGAAGGCTCTCTCCCCACGTCCCAAGCATATTCTTTCATCGCAATGATTTTTCTCTACGGAATTTTCTGGTCATTTTGCTGGACGCCTCTGCAAGCCTTGTACCCATCCGAGATCCTCAACAATGAGATCCGCGCGAAGGGTATGGGTGTCAAGGGATTCATCTCGGGAGTTGCTAGTTTCATCAACACATATGGAACTTCCGTATCTTTAAAGCATATTGGCTGGAAAACCTACACTATTTTCCTTGTCCTTCACTTCGTCCATCTAGTACTGATGTACATGGCCTGTGTGGAGACGAAGGAGCGGACTCTGGAAGAGATCGAGGAGATATTCAACGATCCAAAGCCGGTCAAACGAAGTCTTCAAAAGACACGGGTGCTTGTCGACAGCGGAGGAGTGAAGGTGAAGGACGAAGTTTAAGGTTGATTGCAGCGGCCAGAATGCCTTAACAGAACTTCAATCATTTATAGAACATTCCACCTCAATCTGCTCACCAATTTCACTCGATATGAGTTCCCAGACATTATCAATGAAGACTTGCCGTATCAAGTATGATATTTTTTTCAGTTGTTGCAGAAAATCATTCATGGTCTTGGGGTTATACAACACCTTCAAAATATCAGACGTAGCGCTCAAGATATATATTAATCATTAGGACCGGGGCAGGTGCACGCCGTTAGTCATCACAACTAGTAATTCAAGTTTACTTGGGCGCTTGCATCGTGCTCGATGACAGTGCATATTACAGGGCATAAGCCGCTAGGGTCTTGGAAGTAAGCGGCTTTTGAATTCCGCTTCTGATTTCCAACCGCCAAGATATGCAGTCAGAAATCAGTGGTCAGAACGCAGCGAAGGGGCCTCTAATCTACGAAGTAGCACTGCCTCATGAGGTGATTGCACTGATCCTTCGCCAATCTAGTGAACCAACATTTCTAAGCTACTCTAACTGACACTCATGAGCAATAAGCGTTCCATAAGGTGCTTCAAATTCCGCCATCGTTGGAGTAAGTATAAAAGCCAACTGCGTCAGTTACAATATTCCCTCATGTCGACCTAGCTTGTATGCAAAAGTATAGGCCTTCGTTCAATTCCATTCGCGATGCCTTCTCACATTACCGTTCTTCCTGCATCGACACAGGCAGGTAGACACACCATTCGATTCTTACTTGAGTCGGAATCAAAACCATTTGTCCGCGGAATCTACCGAGACGTCACGAGAGCGCCCGTCGAATTTACCAGTCTTCCCAACTTTCAAGCGGTTCAAGGAGACATTGCCACTGGAAAAGGTCTCGACTTGACCAACTCAGATGCCGTGCTTTACATTCCGCCACCAACTTGGGATGGAACAGACCAAGCAGAATTCGCTCACAAGACGGCCAACTTTGTTGCAAACGCACTGAAAGAATCTCGAAGTGTCAAAAGATTGGTCATCCAATCGGCGTTAGGTGCCCAGCATGAACCGGAGAAGATTGTGAGTCTTGACTGGAGCAAGATCCACGATGCGGTAATCGCTGAACATATATCAAGGGCACACTCAAGCTCAACAACATCGCGGACAATATTCTTAGAGATGCGGCACCGGAAGTCATCATAGTACGACCGGGCTACTACTTTCATGTTTGGCAAGAGGCCTCGAAGACGATGCAGGAAGACCCACCGAGGTTCGAGTCGCCATTCTCACCAGCAGACTGGAAGATTCCTATGGTAAGCTCATAATGTCAGGCGCACGAGAGTATTCACTGACGGCCTCGCAGCTTAGCGCCAAGGATATTGGCCAATATTGCGCCGAGACACTCCTTGCCGACGCCATCGACCCAAGACAGCGAGACATAAGACTTTTTGGACCCCAGCATTACAGCCCACTCGATGTAAAAGAAGCTCTCGAGGCCGTTACCGGAAGAAAAGGCGACATGATTCTGGTCCCCGAGGCTGGACTTGCGCAGTACTGGGGCAAGCAAATTCCGGAAGTCTATCTCCCGGAGTTTGTCAAGTTCATCAAAGCACAGTTGCCTGGTGGAGTAATGGCTCAAGACTATGAAGATGGCAAGGACACGGTCAGATGTCATACCAGCTTGCAGGAAGAGTTGCGGGAGATGCTTGCACAACATGAATGAACGCTGTCGCTGTCTCGCCAGACCTTCACAATTCAGCATGCCCAAAGTGTCGCGACGAACGTCGGCCATTTGCAAAATATCCGATGCCGTCCGAATTCGTCCGAATTACGAAGCGGTCAAAAGAACAGCGAATTACTGTCAAACTGATTGTGGGAGGCCTAGCGGCCGGAGGGATGAGCTGGTCAACCTACGCCGACAGTGAGCTTCGAAGTCGACGATGAGAAAGCAGTTTGATCTACCCTAAGTATTTCTAGTCATCCAACGACCTGAGAGATCTCAAAATGACGTGGTGATGCGTTGATTTTCCTGTCCGTAAACTTTGCTTGCTCCATTGCCATGCAGACTTTGTAGACAAGTAGGAATTGGAGCGGTTCCCCTCCCACCGGCTATGGGCTGCAGCTTCCGGACCCCGAAATAGTTCGCCTCGTCCCATTTTGACGTAACCCAAGAAATAGGCGATCCTTGTTTTCCACTTGCGATCTTCATTTCGGTTGGTCAACGAACGCATCATATTGACATTGATTGGCTAGTCTTCACGCTTGGGATGGATGCAGCTGGAACTAAAGCGAGCGGCTGCAGGTGATCACGCGAAGATCAAGGTAGACTTCCCGTCCACGAGTTACATCCCGCGGATTTTCAATCGCGCGACTGATCAACCATCTGCGTCTTAAGGATTTGATCCCGTTTCATTGACCCCGTTCAAAACGTCTTTTAGGGTATTATCTGGGGTATCGGCTTACGGCTTACTTGCGAGTCCGGCGCCGAAAGTGTCAGCGAAATCAGTCAGAGCATGGGCTAAAGATTCTCCCACTTCTTTACGTATATGTTGAAAGGGAACTCACATCGTAGAAAATACTCCTCACTCTCTGACTTTATCGCCTCAACCTCAGCACCGGGTCTTCACAATGCACGCCATCGAAACTGGCATGCTCCCTTGGGCGTGCATAGGCCTTGCCGCATTCGCAATAATTCGAGTGAGTTCGGAAACCACAAAATCTCGATAAGCAAGAGGGCTTTGACTAGAATAATGATCTTACCATACGGCCAGTTACTATTCTTGGGCCTGCGTAACCCCTTAAGCCATATTCCTGGACCATGGTACACTCGATTCACACATTATGTCTTGAAATACAAGACTATGAGCGGCTGCCGAATCCACTATGTGCATGCTCTGCATTCCCGCTACGGACCCATCGTCAGAATATCGCCGTTTCAAGTTGCCGTTGCAGACCCCGAAGGTTTTACCGCCATTCACCGCATTGGGTCGGGTTTTGTTAAGACCCAATGGTACGAGGACTTCTCCGGCGGATCCGGTATTGGTATTGGGGTCTTCGCCATGACAGACACGAAGAGACATGCAGCGCGGCGCAAGTTGTTCGCCCGCGCTTTCTCCACTGCCAATATCCGACAGAATTGCGAATCAGTCGTAAGAGAAAAGGTCGTCAAAGCTGTCGACAGAATTAAGGCCGAGGCACTGAATGGTTCCGCGGACGTGCTCCACTGGTGGCTTCTCATGGCCTCGGATGTGATCGGCCAGCTGGCATTTGGAGAGTCTTTTGAGCTTCTTGAGAGTGGCAAGGTCAGCTACACCCAGCTTTGGTGTTATTCACGGTACACTCGCGACCTTTGAGTTCGCTGGCTAATTAGCAACAGAAAAACGACTACATCGAAACCCTCCACATGGCCGCGATCAGCGCAACACTCAGCTATGAGTTGCCCTGGCTCCACAAAATCTCTGGATACATCCCCATCAGAGCATTGCAGAGGGTTCTCAACTCTGGCAATAAAGTCAGCGAATATGGCGGCAAGGCCGTCTCCAATTTGATGAGACACCGAGACAACAAGGCAAACATCTTCGCAAATATGCTGGCCGAATGCGACGCGAACGAGAAAGTAGATCTTACGCCGCAAGATATCAGGATTGAAGCTAACAACTTCATATTCGCGGGTGCTGACACGACATCATCGACACTAACCTACCTCGTCTGGGCTGTGCTCAAGAGACCTGATCTCCAATCTCGACTGGAAGAGGAGGTAGCGGCGGTCGAGGAGTCGTTGCTGCTAGAGGATGCTTTCTTGGAGAAGTTGCCCCTCCTGAACGCGGTTGTTGAGGAGACTTTGCGGCTCTACACTGCTTTACCAAGCAATCTGTCACGCGTAGTCCCTTCAAAAGGCACAACTCTGGGAGGCTATTTCATCCCGGCCGGTTTGCAGGTTGAGACACAAGCATTTACCCTTCATCGAAACGCCGAGATCTGGCCCGAGCCACTCAAGTAAGTCGCGCATAGCCTATGTAGGACTACGAATGCTAACCAAAAAAGATTTGATGAGACAAGATGGCTTAATCCAAATGGGCTAAGTCCCTTGCAAAAGAGCACATTCTGCCCTTTTGGAGCGGGAACGCGCGTGTGCGTTGGACTCCACTTGGCTCGCATGGAGCTCAGGATGGGTGCCGCATTGTTGTTCAGAAAATGCCCTGGCTTGAAGCTTTCGGCATCAATGAAGGACTCCATGATGGATATGGAGAACTTCTTCATTATTGCGCCCGTTGGCCACCAGTGTGATGTCACGCTTGACGCTTGAGAAAATGCGGTGATTTCGCAAACATAGCATCTAATGAGTTCAAACAAGGCCTCTGGCCAGCTACTGTGACTTTTACCTGGAACCTGTACTGCAACGACCTCCGACTTCACCCTTTAGCTAACAGCCTACTAGTCATGTGATCGCCCTGGATTTCTGCTCAGCTAGATAGTCTTATAGATTACTATCTCTTTAGCCCTATTTCCCCTATATACACTTAGGTGCGCTATTATAATCTTATTACCTTTAATATTACTTCAATAATAACTTCATAACTTTAACTAAGTTTAATTACTATAGCAGACTTTCTCTAGCTTTCTAACCTATCTATTAACCTTTATATATACCCTCTATCTCTATATTTATTAGTAACACCTATAATATTATAGTTAGCCTAGTTAACTTACTAGCTATACTACCCTACTAAGGATGTTATTAAAGTAGGCGTAAATATTAGGATTAGTAGTAAATATATCTATATTATTAAGTAAGAGGTTTTATTAAAGTAAATAAGTAGTTTCTATATTATTACTACTAAAGTTAGCTTCTAAGACCTTAAAGTAGGACCTAGCTATAGCTATTTAGTCCTTAGAGCTCTATATATTAAAAAGTATTATCTTATTAATCGCTATAAACTTAGCTTTATAGTTAGTATTAATTTTAATATCTTAAAGTATACTTTAAGTAAAGCTTTATAGTATAAGATCTTATAAATTAAGTAAAATAGAATATATTATAAAAGTATAAGAATCTAAGTAGTTTATTTAGTAAGGAATAAGTTTAAAGTTTAGTATAAGTAGTATTTTAAGTATATAACTAAGATAAGCTTTTCTATAGCTAAAGACTTTATAAAACTATCTTTAGTATATATCTCACTTATAAGTTACGTAGGTGAGGCTATTAACCTTACTAGTAATAAAGCTATTATTAATAAGGCTGATAGCTATAATAGTATAGCAAGTTAGGGTCAGCGCGGGTAGTTATTCTAGACCCTTAGGTACGTATACTACGAAGCTACTAGACTAGGCACTGACCGAGGTGCTTTTACTGCTTTTTCCCCTACTGTGAAAACCCCTACTGGGTGGGCTCGAAACTTCCTCAACATGAGTTCAAACAATAGAAAACATCCCTCTCCAGACATAGGATACGCTCAGGAAACACCATCGCACGACTTGCTGTATTACTAGGCTGTCAAGACCGTATCGAGAATAGTGACACACTTCTCTATGCACTACTTTTACCTCCGATACCTAGTGCTATTCTTTTGAAGGTCCTCAACAACAAGACCTTGCAGTCCTGACCCTGTGATATTGTCAAGGGGAGCAACAAAGGCCATTTGGCTCCAGCTGAATTGCGTGTTGCGACCGCCGTAGACGAATACCTCAAATCGTCCGGCAAACACCCCGTTAATCCATGCTACGCTGCCATGCAAGACATCGGTCTCAATCCTTATCTCTGCTGGTAGTGCCGACACCGTCACCGGATCATGTGTCGAGGTGCTTACATTCACCCAAATGCGTCCCGGATGTCCAGGATCAAGTTCAAGCGCGTCCTTCTCGTTCACAGATCGCAGGGGGTATAGGTAGCCATCCGTATTGAAAACAAGTCTTCCGTCGTTCCCAAGGGATAGTGTGTTGTCTGGGCCTGAGAGAGTGAAGGGACCCGTTGCGTTGAGTGTAAGGGAATAGTTCATTCCCTTGCTACCACGTCCAAGATGCACCTCTGCCACGTCTTTGTCAGAGCGACTCCACGAAATGAGAGACTTGGAAGAACCAGTGGGCGGTAAAACTCGGTCCAGATTCTGCCCAGGTGCAATAGGCGAGAAGACATCGATGCTGTTTGAGACGTCGTCGTCCACAAGCTTGGGGCCACGGCTGCCAGACCAGGATCGGGCTCCAACTAGTGCAATTCCCCGACGCATTGCGTAGTATGCTTCAAGCTGAGTAGATGCGTCTGGCCCGTTATCATTCCATGCTGCCAAAATGGCACCTTTATTATCTGGAGACGCGTCCGGCACCTGCTCAGTCTTGTTGAACGGGTTGTAATCGGCCGGTGTCCATTGCCAGCCCGATTCATCGGCGAAGTTGAGCACTCGGCTCTCGTTGAAGAATTGTGGGTATCTAGCCGGAAGAATGGGCATGTGATCGTTCTTGATGGACATGTATGCCCACCAATCTTCTGAGTTGATGATTTCGTATCCAGTGTTGGCAAGGAGCACTGGGTCCGACTGCCCGTATTGCCAATGTTGGATGATGACGTCTTTCGAGATGGTGAGATTCTCTGAGGGCTCTTCTGTTCCCCAAATACGAATTTTCTTGCCGGTTGTGGAGTTGATGAACTCCGACATCTCGTTTACAAAGCCGATGTAGTCGTCGGCGAGCGTAGCGTCGTACTCGTCCGCGCCCACATGGACCTCCTTAGTCTCGAACCAAGGGAGAAACTCAGACCAGATGCGCTTCACCGCTGGGATAGTGTCCGGATGCGACAGGTTGAGTAAGTCGCGCTTTGCCAGAGATAGTTCTGGCTTCCACTTTGTCAGATACAGGCAGTGGCCAGGAGCCTCAATCTCGGGAATGACAGTGACACCCCTCGCAGCGCAATGGCTTTGCAAATCGACAAAGTCCTCTCGGCTCAGAGTCTCATTGTCGCGGCCATGCAGAATTGGTAGCAGTGACTCGTCCTCGGGTCTCAATGAGAAGTGTGAATAGACGTCTTGCCATGATTCGTTCTTTCCGCGATTGAGTGGGTAGTTGTCGGAGAGATGGTAGTGAAACTCGCTCAGCTTGAAGAAAGACGCGTAGCTGCACAATTCTTTCAAAAATCCTGGTGCATACCACTTGCGGCCGGCGTCTAGCATGAACCCGCGTGTCTCGTATGCCGGTGCATCAATTGTCGTTCCCACAGGAAGGCTTCCATTATGGGCAACGAGAAGCTGCAAGAGCGTTCTTGTTCCCCACCACATACCCCGGGCTCCGGTACCACCGATAACTGCGGCGGTAGGCAAGACAGTAAGCTCATAGCCTTCCGATGTGGACTTGCCGTTTTGATAGGTGATCGCAGATCTGTTGCCCGTGAACGAGCCGAGAAGGATACCGCTAGCGTTGACATTGGCGATGCGATCCACACGCTGCAAAGTCCAGTTCTCGCCTGTGAGCTTGCTGATGTCCTCTCGGAAGAGTGTGGCAAAGTCGAAGCCACTAGGTGGTATTAATGTGAGGCCATCCGTATCGGTTTTGCATGCAAGCTCGTTTTCAATGAAAATAGTCTTTGGGCTCGTTGCCGACGACCACACCGCTCCGGTGGCCGCCGATCCCGATGTTCGGAGCGGGGGCGGGAGAAGTTGGAGCCCCCAGGTCAATGCCGGAGCGCATAGCAGCGCCGCGATGATTCCGACAACCATTGGATTTGATGCAATGCCGTCACAGCTCAACGAAACTCCGATTGGCAACTGTATTCGAAAAAGGTGTGGTCGGTCAGCATTTTGACAGATCAACACTACTTGTATTGCGTCTGATCTCTCTCGTATCTCTGGTTGCCCCTCACGTCATTTAACCTAGATAAGAGAGACCCCGCACAACCAGCTGGGATCTTGATGTAACAACGCATGTTGTGCGATAGTAACGTCACGCAACAATGATCATTGATTCGGCGCAGGGATGCCGACTAGACCGCCATACCTTAGTGCCAAGGGCCCTTGTGCACTGGGAATGCGAGGGAGCCACTTAACCGAAGAAACAATTGATGATGACCAACAGTACCGGGTTCCAGAACTGCACGTCTCAGGAAACCGAGGGTTGGCTTTGGGACTTGCAAATGGTCAGAATCCAACGTCGCGAATAATCATTGAATTTGGCATGAGAAGTTACATGTGCAAGTGGCAATTGTAGCAAGATGTCAACAACGATACTGAGCGCAAGCAGTCTAGCCATTCATGTTGCAATCAAAGCAGTTGAAGTAGTAGACACAACAAGATTGGGTTTTATTGAGATTGCAATTATTTGAACGAATATTTGGCAATGTTAGAAGTGAACCGGATGATGACAGCTTTCAGGGTTGTGTACCACGAAGGTATGTTGCAGTATTTTCGAGGGGTGCTCAGTGTCAGCCCAATTACTCGGAGCAAGACCAGCAAAGCGTGGAGTTGGCACTGGCGCAAGAAGTATCCATGGTGGCCTTCTGAGGGTAGGGGCACAAGATCTGCTGCTGAGCAGTGTTGTTGGAGGTCGTTACAATAACCGGCGAAGATTGAGGTTCAGTGCCATTCTCAACCCAAGCTCGAAGCTGCGAAAACATCTGCTCGGGTTGGCCGCCGTTACCTCCCCAGCAGTGTTGAAGACCGGGCACGCGGTAGTACTTGTAGAACGAGGTGACGTTCCCGACAAAGTCTGCGACCTTGTTGTAGTAGCGAAGTGTGCCTCCCGGAGAGATGCTTTGATCAGCCTAAAACAGTCAGTATCACCGCAGATGCAAGGGGGAAGATGATAGCAGGCAACTCACAAGTCCGTGGTAAGTCATAAGCTTCCCGCCGGCGTCTCTGAAGTCTCGCAGGTCGGCTTCGTCGGTCTCCATGTTGGAAGCAAAAGCTAGCTTCACAGCGCGGTAGATGGTATCAAAAGTTCCATCGGTGATGTTGGGAAGAGTCGCGCTCGGATCCTTCATGACGAAGGCTTGCCAGGGGAAGAGGATGTTCGCACGGCCAGCGCTGGTGCACACCTCTCCAGTGCAGTTGGTCGGAGCAATGACTGAGAGATCGCTTCCGATTTCGTAGCCATCGTACAAGAACTTTTCATTCGAGAAGCGGGGTCCGGTCCATGAGGCGTTGGCAACGGCGGCGGCGGCTTGGGTGATTGCGAGTGTGGTGTTGGTTGTAGAGCAGAAGAAAGAGTCGCCGACGTGGCTGAAGGGATCGAAGGCGGCCCGGCAACCTTCAGGGTTGCTGATGAGTCCATCCTTCACGCCATCTAAACCGTCACAAGCAGCAATTCCGAGAGTAGTGAGCGCGTTGAGCTCGCAGTTGCGGGGGAACTGTTGCGTGTTCTCCATGTAGAAGCTAGGCCAGATAGAGTTGATGTAGAACTCGGCCCAGTTCAGCGCCGGGGCAGCCGCCATGATGCCGTCGTAGACATCTGGGTACTGCTGCGCGACCTTCATGCCCATGCGGCCGCCTTGGGAACAGCCATTCCAATAGGAATAGAGAGGCTCTTGACCGTAGTAAGATGAAATAAGTTGCTTCACAATGACAGCCTGATGAAACGATTAGTCAGTGCGGCGGAACAGGACGCAGAGCCAGATACTTGACTAACCTCGTCTTTCATGGCGACTTGGCCAAAGTTTTGCAGCGCATTCGTGTCGAGAACTCCGGGGCTCTTCAACAGCCAGTCGGTGGGATTTTGAGCAGTGGGGATCCCAGCATCGGTGGTGACGGTAGCATAGCCGCTGGCGACCGCGTTGATCATGGCAGCGTAGCTGAGAATGAAGCGGCCCGGCGTCCACCCGCCACCTCCAACTGCCTGAAGTCGACCGTTGTAGTTCTCTTGGGTTGGTAGCCAAGCTTCCACAATGATACTGTCGTCCTGAGTTGTGTGGCTGTAAGTCACCGTTACGTTACAAAAGGTGGCATTCTGCACGTCAAGAGCCGGCTGTGAATACGTCCAGCCCTTAGGTACATTGAAACTATAATCGGTGACAAGGTTGGCTTCAATTGAGTGGATTTGAGCTCCGAAAAGGGTGGTATTGGTGAACGCTGCAGAGCCGCAGCCCGTGGTATTGGTGGCGAGAGCGGACATGGCTGCTGTTGTAAAGGGATGCTACAAGTTGTCGGATTAGCAAGTCAGGCATGCTGTGGCTTCGGACAGAGCTTTAAGTACTGCTAACAGGACTTGGATCGCCAAGGTCTTCATCCTGGGGAGATTGAGTAAAATGAGGCATTCATCGATGAAATTAATCTCTTTGTCATCCGTCGTCTAAATTCTCGATTGTGAGAGGGCATCTTCCAATGATTGAGGGTCGCCGGCGTGACTCGTCCACTCAAAAAATTCCGTATCGAATACGAGAGCGGATGTGGGCCCACAATTGAGCCGGCTCCGTGCCGGTCCTCCGGAGACCCCGACGTAGCCTATGTCGGCACTTGCAATCAGGGCATCATCATTGGCTTCGAGATCAGATAGTCAAAAATTTCATAGCACGCATGGGGCATTCTTTGTCTGCAGCACTATATTGGACTGCCTTTCTCCCATAACCAATATTTCCTGAAGTCTGTGTGATGTCGTTGAAATCTTCAAGTACGGCTGATAGTCTTAACGTGGCATTTGGAGAGAGTTTACGGGTTGGAGATGGGTTAAAAACTGACGTCTGCACTAAAATACTCTAAGTTCTCAACATCAATCATCGTATTTGAATTCCTGGCCAACAAGCTTCTCGCTCAACGCCCATAGCCTCTTCGCATCAACCTCGCTGGTCGCCCAAGAGTATACCTCCTCCAAGTCAGGGTCAGCAACGTGGCAGTCAGACAAAAAGACACCGTTCTGATCCTTGATTGACTCATCAAAAGAAGCGAAAACATGAGTTGCGGCCCCTTGGTCCAAGGTCTTGATCTGCATCTCGGCCATTCCAAAGAGCCACTTATTCCCGTAAATGTGGTCCATCTCCGTCAGGTCTGCCGAAAAGGCGGCTTGGTCTTGTAGTCCATGTGCTGCGAGATTGGTAAAACTCACACCAGGACACATACCGAAGGACAGGAGGCCCTTTCCGCCGAGCTTCCTAGCCAGCGCCAGGGCAGTAAGTGCATTGGCCGTCTTCGACTGGCCGTACGCCAACCACCTCTGGTAGTTCTTGCCCTCGTTGAAGTTGTAGTCGGTCCAGCGAATGTTGCCGACGCGGTGGACGCCACTCGACACGAAAACGACCCGGGGAGCTTTGGCGGCAAGAATCTTCTTGATGATCAAGTTGGTGAAAAGAAAGTGACTGAGATGATTCGTTTGAAATTGACTCTCGAAGCCATCTTCTGTCAGCTTGTATGGCACAGCCATAATTCCGGCATTGTTTACCAGCAGATCAATCGCAGGAACATCGGCCCATGACATGACTGTCTCGGCAGCTTTGCGGACGCTGCTGAAGGACATGAGATCCATTGGAAGAAGCTTGACGATGATTTCCGGGTGGGCGGTCTTGAGGTCATCCGCAACAGGCTGCATCTTTGAGACGGACCGACTGGCTAGAATAACAGTCCCAGGCTTGCCTGCGGCCACTTGTGTGATGAAGCTCTCGCCAAGACTTCCAGGTGAGGGACCTGTGACGAGAATGGTCTTTCCGGCAATTCGAGGTGCATGGAACTCTACGAGCTCGCTAGCAGTTGTGTTGGAATTGCAAGTGGGTGCCATGTTGACGCAGTACAATATTGGATAGTTGGTTGGAAAGGAGTTGTGGTGAAGCTTGAATGTGTGATGAACACTAGTGAACTGAGTTTTGTTATGTGGAAGAGGCACGCAACATTTTTTATGTTCTTTCCAGATTTCTCATTCTAAAGTCGTTTTCCCTTGCATGGCTCATTGCTGGTGCCGGTGATGTTGGTTGTGATGATGGGCCCACCAAATCGGCGTGAAATCCAGCCGCCCTCGGAGACTTAACGTCAATGCAACTATTCCCAGTAGCGGACTTCACGGTCTCCGCTGTGCGCCACTTTCCCGTCCCTTGGACTTAACGGATTTACGAATGGGACACTCCGTGACATGCATTTGACCTTTCGTGATAGCTTTTCTCATTGGGCACAATCCAAATTCGCATCTGTGTCGAATTAAGTCGCTACTTCCAGCCTGCTCTCTGTCTATGGCGGTATGAGTGAAAGTGGGGCGCGATTGCAATCTGACAATAGGCGCAACTTTCGTGGTTCTTCACCTCCCGTCATAGCTTGGCGAGAATTACACTGAGATACGTCAACCAGCTCGTCCAATAAGGCAGCCTTATTGATCCTTCGGCAAGTTATTGCCCAAATTTCACGACACAGAATGCACAAATGCCGATCAGAGGAACAACTGCCTAAGTCTGGGAAGATCTGCCCAACTAGCCAAACTCTGTTACGTACAGCACCACAGGGTCAGTGCTGAAGCCCAACTAAACCCACACACAGGAGAACATTGCCTAAACACTGTTTAGAAGGAAACTCCGCTAGAAACTAGCCAGTACAAAGTCCGCACACCTTTCATGGTAATGCTTGCAACATCATACTCGTGAACGACCTTGGAGATATTACAAACCACGTCAATGAAGCTTTCTTACTTTCGGAATAGGCTTACTAGGCGAAGAAACCGTCCGCCTGCCGTTTCAAAAAGCTGTATTGCGGAATGGACTCAGAGTATAAGTAAAGCCAAGTTGATGCCCAAGATCAGTTGTCGTCCATCTCATACTCGATCAATCAGCCAGCATCAACTGAACACACCATCTGTCATCCAAAGTCATTCAACCATCCTCCATCAATAAGTCAACATGTCTTCCTCCAACTCAATCCGCTTCGACAACCGCGTCGCAATTGTGACCGGCTCTGGTCGCGGTCTAGGCCGCCAACATGCCCTTCTACTCGGAGCTCTTGGCGCTTCTGTGGTAGTCAATAGCACCACATCCGCCACAGCTCAAGCAACCGCCGACGACATCATCAAAGCGGATGGCAAGGCCATCATTTGCGTTGGCTCCGTCTCGGATGAATCAGTTGCCCAGGCCTTGGTCAAAACGGCCATCGATACTTTTGGCCGCATCGACATCATCATTAACAACGCTGGCACATTTGATCCCAAGCCGTTCGAAGAAACTTCTGCCGCCGACTTGCGAGACATGCTTTCGGTTCATGTCGAAGGGTCATACAACCTCACGCACGCAGCCTGGCCTCACATGCAGAAGCAGAAGTACGGCCGCATCGTGATGATCACATCTCACACCATCTTTGGAATGGCCGGATCTGCGGCTTATGCAGCTGCCAAACTTGCCCTCGTGGGCATGGCCAAGACACTCGCCATTGAGGGAGAACCGCACGGCATCCTGGTCAACTCTGTGGCAACGACGGCATTTACCGACGCGGTCCAGAAGAACACCCCGGACGCGGGGATGCAAGCATTCATGAGAGCCAACTTGCCTGCCGAGGACCCGGCGCGGGCTGTTGTATGGCTAGCACACGAGCATTGCAAGGCTAATGGCGAGGTCATTGGTGCTCAGGGCCGAGTTGTCAGTCGGATCTTTTTGGGTGAGACCAAGGGGTTCCAGGGGTCTCACGAAGGAGAGTGGAGGGTTGACAACGTCCGAGATAGTTGGTCGCAAGTTGTTGATGAGAAGAATTACGTCGTACCTGCGAACACAAATGAGCTTGGAGGTTTGCTTTTCAAGCGGCTAGCGTCTCAGTCCTAGTGGTTTCACACATATCGGCTGTAAAGTCACCGTGTGCAACCGAGGTTCAACGACACTTGGCTTCAACGATGCCGTTGACTACAGGCGCGGATGAGACATGGTACGCCATAACTGCAGCAAAACTTCCAAGATGATCTCAATTTCGACAGTGAGATACTACTAGGAACTTTGAAAGACACTGGCATCTTCAAACAATTCTGATTATACTCTTGTCCCGCTCTTGAAACCAATTCATGCCTGCAGCGTTCTTAAATCTAAAATAACCTAATCTTTCCGATGTGCCCCGGCGGTTGCAGGTGAGAATGATCCCAAAAGAATAGTATACCGGCTTGATGAATGTGCAGCGGAGCTCAAGGAGCTTCACTCTTTGATAGCCAGGCTCCAATAGACAGTCCCAAGTGACGTCTACTGTCAACCTAGAAAGAGGTGGGTCGCGTCGTCGGTAGGAAGACGTAGCTAAGACCGGTTTGCGCTTTGTATCTCCTCCTCCTCCTTTCTGCGAAGCGTCTGCTAACCGATCAGTGGGCGACTGACTACGTTGTCTTGAAGTCAGCTTTCGGCCAGCTTGTGAAACATCATATGTCATAAATGCAAGACCGTTCCACAGAGCCGTGCGGACATTTCCCCTCAACGTTAATTGCTTTCCCGTGATTGCTCCCGAAGGATCCGAAACGTCTGCTGGAACAATGTCGCATGCTACATATTCGGCAGTGTAGTCTTTCCCGTGGTCGCGGTCGTTGAGATCTTTCCATCTCACCGGCGTTCTTTTAGACGTCCACGACCATGATGGTATCATCGTTTTCTCTCTCGTATTCTGCCTGTCTGAACTAGTCTCAATGCTAGATTTTTCAGCGGCGCGGCGACAGAAAAGAAGCTGCCTTGGCATGTCCCTTTCCCACAGTGCAGCCTTGCATTCTGAGATATCCCACCGCGTGGCCTTGGCCATCAGGTCGATCGCCCATGAAAAAGCCATGAGCTTGTCGTCCAAATTTCCGCATTGGCGTCTTGAATAATCTGAACACATTTCGATATACTTACTTATGCACAAATCGAGACTGGATGAGCAGACTTCTTCTCTGCTCCCCATAAGCAAATCGAAGAAGGTCATTGTCTCGTTCCCTTCGTATGGGTCCGAGAGAAGTCCAATGTCGCTGTCTGCGCGATGTGACTGTTGACATTTCCATACAAGTTTCTCGGTGTCGAACGCCAGAGAGAACAACGCTGCTTCGCCTTCTTGGTATGTCCATACCCTTGTGTACAATGGATCCAATTTCACTTCGAAACCGCGTTCAACAAGGCGCACTTTGTCATTAGTAATGACAAGGCCATTGGTTCGAGAAACTTGCAGTTCATACACATGATACTGCAGGTTCCTACGTCCCAAGAAGCCTTCATTGCAGTGCGATGCTGAGCCAGCACCTATGACAATTGCCGCTCCAGCATAAATTTCGGGCATGTTTCGCAAGACTTCTCTCTTTTCTGAACGGCTCAAATTCTGCTCAATGCAAAGAGCATCAACCCATAAATATCGGATCCCTAAAGCTCTCGTGACTGTGACCGCATCCCTAATCGTTTTGGGCAGCTCATGCAAATCCAACCTCGCGAGACGGGCTGACAGGTTGTCTGAAGTAGTCATATAGGTTTTAGAGCTGCCTTGCCCCCAGCAATAGCTGAGTATGGCGTACTTGATAGCTCGAGAATTCGAACTTTCGACGAGGCGCGTGTCAGTATTGTCGTCTGATCCTATGTCAAGGAGAAATTTTGGTTTCTCAAAGAACTCCGCTTCTGCTCTAGCCTGTTTGCAGATAGGGTGCATTTGTGTGCACGTGTCCAGGCGCTCCTTCATCCATCGAACTTCCTTTTCAGAGAACGGGTGTTGTCCCGGGGGTCTAGTTCTGACTTTCTCCAGAGCGGCTGGATTCAATGTGTTATCAACGGAGTTTCCAAGTGGCAAGGAACAACTTACGATTGTCGGTGTATGCAAGAAGCTGGTCAACGATATCTGGTTGATACCCCTTAGTTTTCATCGTCCAATTGCATGAGACAACGGGTTTGCCATTGTTCAAGTCGGTACTCATTTCCATTTCGAGGCTTTTGAAATCTTCATCGTCGTACGCTTCATCGTCGTACTCCACATCCTGTGGCAGTTGTTGCCGGAGTATGTCTAGCCTTCGTTTGAGAAAGCTACATCCATCACCGGCGGCAACAAATACATCATCAAACGTCAATCGAGATGCGTTCTGACCATAACCAACATCTATCGATAGGTGCTGACAATGGTAACAGCGATGGATGTATGTGTTCGAGGATGCCATTGCGGGTCTGGAACATAGACGCCGTGCATTGGGCAGCGGTTGATACGGGTGGAAGGGATGGCGAATTCGACGAAGGACGCGTTCCAACGCGTTTAGGCTACCCCTCAACTGAGGACAGGGCGATTTGTTCCAGGCCAATGTTCGTTGGTCGAGTTTTCTCCAATCAGGCTTACGTACTCGTACCCTTAGGATGGATGATTGGTCGCCCCTTAGCCCATAGTGATTGGACGATCAGCAGAGCTGTGATTGGACATTACGCCCCAGAGTGTAAATGTAACCAGCTTGTCGAGAACATACCATTAGTAACGTGTCTTATCGCCATGCAGTAGAGGTTATCAGCACGACAGACGAAAGGTCGGTATTGCTTGGACAAGGTAATCCTTGGCCCCCTGCCATTTCCCGCCGAAGGCCTTTCTCTATCGTTTTCTTCCTTCTGAATTAAAGTCGAGGGAGAGGATCAGGGAGTGTTCACCAGCTGTCATTACGTGACGATTGAGAGATTGCGGCATCGGAAGGCTGCGAGTTGAAACGATCAGACTGTATACAGTCTTTTCTAAAGGTCATTCCATATGCCAAGAAAGACTTCTAGGAAGGCGGCTTTGGTAAAGTACCTTGCGTCAATATTGCGTGTTAGTAAAGTCGGGGCCGAAGCCGTAGAACATCAGGAATCAGCAAAAGGAGATCAGTAAACCTTCAAAGTCTTGTTTCTACAAACCTCCGCTATGTATCTATGGTCTGACGAGTTTCCAAGCACATTCAAGGACTTTTCCCGTACCGTCCGTGGCTTGGGCTGTTCGGTGAATGAAGAACCACACACAGACCAGATGTTACTTCTCGCATCGATCCACCTTCCGCCCCCGAACAGCCGCTAAAACAAATCGCAAAGTTTCGGGCTTTCAGATTAATCTAGTGTAATTAAGACGTTAAGCAGTCTAGCAGAAGCTTTTCGTTCCTTATTGCGCATGCCTGTCGTTTGTTTACCTCGCGACTCAGTCGCGTTACGGGATCCAACAAAATGGCATGTTCGCGAATGGGATGTAGTCAGATGCTAAAAATCGTCTGTGCAGTTATGTGCTCACCTTAGCAGTCTGGAGACGGAGAGCCCGATCTGCAACGCGCCTAACCTGGAGATGTTATTTAAGAGAGTGTCGATATACCGGGGTTACCGTTGGACAAGGATTAAGAGCATGGCCAGTGCAGCGCACAACGCGTTTGTCGAAAAACCAGCTTTGCGCCTTCTCGCAACTCGCCTTAATCATCATAATTGCCATTTGGTCAGGACCGTCCGAGGGATTCGCATCGGGGGTTCCCCCATTGGTCGCCCAAAGGTCCTCGCGATGGGCCAGAACGATGTTTGCCAATGCCGACGAAACACTCCCAGGTCGTCCGACTCAAGCCAATGCGAGCCCCTTTACGAAGACATGCGACCTTGCCTGCTGGCAAACTCGAGCCCCCCGACCGTTCTCGTATAGCCAAGCCAATGAGGGTTACATTATTAATTAAGGGAGAGTGGAATATCGACTAATCGGGACGCTGGTGGAGATGTCCCCACTTCTCTTTCTGTGTTGGTCGTCAAAATCCACCTTCTCCGGTTCTGAACTTCGCGATTCGAGCTTCGCGCCAAAGAGCCGCATCTTTTGGCGCGAACTATTCAGGAACGCAGATCTTGCTGCGAGATCGAGTGATCAGCGTGGGTTCTGAGATCAGTTCTCCAGAGGCGATTCGTCTTGTTCCTCCTAAGCTGCTCCGTGTCCCGGTTCGGCCTCCTCGGACTCTTCCCCTCGCCTAATCCTCTTTCGACTCTCTCAAGTTTCGCAGCACGGTGCACCTGAACGGTTGCCATGGACCCGTAAGGGTTGACACGCCGGTGGATCTTCGGATGGATCCGCGGCCGGAAGCTCGTTCAAAATCGGACAACCTCGACTGGATTGAATCGGTTGCGGCCCCTCGATCTGGAAACTCGCTCGTCCCTTGCCAATAGCACCGCCCGTTGTTGACAGGGGAATTTAAGGGAATTACCAGCGATGCGGGACCTCCTCGCTTGATCGCGGCGCAGTCACGGCGACGAGTCGAGCCATTTTGTGCCTGGTCCTCGAGGTCGTCGCCGCGAATATAATCGGCGAGATTCTGCTGTCACTTTTTGCACTTACTGGTCTCTCTTGCATCTGCAACTGCGGCAGTTGAATCCAAGGTCATCACTCGTTCTGCCTTGTGCTGTTGTCGTTCATTTGATCCCTGCCGGGTATAATCCTCCAATCGTTAACCAACCCCAACTTTCTTAGCCTCTCATATTGTTTGTTTTTATCTTTCCCTCTTGTGGTCATTTAGTTGTGCCATAATACCTTAATCTTTTCAGTCACTCATCATGCGCTACACATCGACTCTCTCTTTGTTGGCCTCTGGGGCTATTCAAGGCGCCCTCGCCTTGGACGCCGCCGGATGGCGCAACCAGAGCATCTACCAGATCATCACTGACCGTTTTGCGACGTCTGATGGCTCGGCCCCAGAGTGCGACACCCAGATCGGCAAGTACTGCGGTGGTACCTGGAAAGGCATCACGAGCAAGCTCGACTACATCCAGAACATCGGTGCCACTGCCATCTGGATCTCGCCCATCGTCAAGAACATTGAGGGATTCATTGAGAACGCCGGAGAGGCCTACCACGGCTTCTGGACTGAGGACATCTACTCCCTCAACGACCACTTCGGCACCGAGGCTGACCTGAAGGAGCTTACCGACGCCCTCCACGCCCGCGGCATGTACCTCATGGTCGACATCGCCCCCAACCACGTCGGTCTCAACCAGAACCCTGGCGACTACTCCAAATACGTCCCCTTCAACAAGCCCGAGTACTACCACAAGGAGTGCTCCATCAAATGGAACAACCTGAAGTCCGAGCAGATCTGCTGGCTCGAGGGTCTGCCCGACCTGAGGACCGAGGACGCCTACATCCGCAAGGTGTACGCCGAGTGGATCAAGGACTTCGTGACCAAGTACAACATCGACGGCCTCCGCGTCGACACCGCCCTCGAGATCGAACCTGAGTTCTTCACCGTCGGTGGCTTCAGAGAGGCTGCCGGCGTCTTCCTCCTCGGCGAGATCAGCCACACCAGCCTGGACACCCTGGCCCCCTACCAGCAGGTCATGGACGGCTTCATGGACTACAGCGCCTACCACCAGCTCGCCGACTCCTTCAAGAAGGTGAACAGCGACCTTGAGGTTGTCTTTACCGGCACCAACGAGATGGCCGCCAAGACCAGCATCGACCCTTCCCTGCTCGGCTCCTTCGCTGAGAACCACGACCAGCCCCGCTTCCCCTACACTAACAAGGACATGGCCCTGGCCAAGAACTTCTACGCCTTCACCCTGCTCCGCGACGGTATCCCCATCATCTACTACGGCCAGGAGCAGCACTTCTCCGGCAGCACCACCCCCAACAACCGCGAGGCCCTCTGGCTCGCCGGCTACGACATCAACTCCGAGCTCTACGGCTGGCTGCAGCAGGCCAATAAGATCCGCGTGCACGCCGCCAAGGCCAACGCCAACTTCCTGACCACCGAGCGCACCCAGGCCGTCTTCTCCTACGGCAGCGACGACCAGAGCCGCGTCATCGCCTTCCGCAAGGGTCAGCTCTTCTCCATGTACACCAGCGGTGGCGTCAACGCCGCCAACAACGCCATGTTCGCCATCGCCCGCAACGCCCACCTCTTTGCCATCGGCTCCGAGGTCATCGACGTTGTGAACTGCGAGTCCTTCACCGTTGCCGACAAGGGCCGCCTCTGGGTGCAGATGCCTGCCGGAGGTCTCCCCCGTGTCTTCTTGCCCAAGGACCAGGCCGAGGGCCTGTGCAACGACGTCAAGGCGCCCCTTTCCAGCGCCACCGTCAAGGTTGCCGTTGACAAGAACTCTGGCTACAACAAGCGCTCGCTGCCTTTCGTCACCAGGACGATGGCTTAAGTGCAAGACGTGGTCATGCCTGTATAGATATGTTCAGATACGAAGCGTTATATGTCTAATGTTTAATTTTAATCAATACTCGTTCATACAAAATATCTGATGTGATACGTCGCGCGGCCGGCGCCGTTGCTGTTCCGCCGGTCTATTCGGCCAGGGCGCGCGTTCGACCTTGTGCGAAGGTTTGCCTGCTAGCAGGAACGTATAGGGTTTCTGTACTGTATTCCTTAATCGGTAGAGGGTATAGGTTAAAGTACCCATATAGTGTTTCCAGAATTGTGCCCGCGTATAGAGTGAATTTTGCCCTAGTCTTTTTGCTGGGGGCTGCGTCGTAACTACAAACTCAATCTGAAGTGACACATTCCGTATTCTGGCCATGATGACTGTGGCTTAGGTCGTCCAGAATATTCCGCGTGCACTTTTGCGTATCGCTCGTCTACCAGCTGATCCACGTGAATGCATAGCCGTTCTAAGCCGCACGTTGTCTCCATGATTCTTCCCCGAAAAACAGGGAGATCATCCTTTTTCCTTTCTACCTTTTCTTTCGCAGTTTACCGCCTGGAGGCGCACCTTGTTGACTGCCGTATGACTCTGACGGAGAGATCTGTGGAGGGTCACAGCGTAACCTCAATGTCTATCCCATGGGGTATAAGAAGGGGGGTTTTGAGCCGCCTTGCAGAAAGCTGGCAGAAACGGTCCCCCATCAAACATCGGATGTATGAAGCAAAACAACAACTGCGTCCAATTATCCCCCCTGACTTCGATTCAACCACCTAATTTCAAACCAATTAACGACTTCAACATGAAGCATCTC